GACACCAGATCCTTTTCCCTTCTCATCTTCAAAACCTACCTGTTGATAATGAGACTGTTTTCAAGTTCAAACCCTGAAAATGCCACTTTACTTACCACAGAGCGCCTTCTACCAAAGGCAGGACACCCTCAGCTTCAGTCTGCAGCAGGTAGGACAACTGAACAGTGATAGCCTACGAGGATTCCTACCAATTCATAAAAATCATCATTATCTTCCACAATGAACAAGATACTAAAATGGAGACCACTGCTATCATCACAGCAGATCTCACACTACAGATTTTTCAGGCCTGCTCCACTACTGCATTTCTGCTTATGCAGACAGAGAGCAATCACAAGATATATCACAGAAACTATTCTGGTAAGATTTATCAGTTTGGGGAAACAAACAAACAAACAAACAAAAAAAAAACAAACAAAACAAAACAACAAAACAAACAACCCAGCAACAACAACAAAAAAAGTCTGTCCCCAGGTGATAATTTTATATTAGGCTTTCCTATATTTATATTAGGCTTCCCCGAAACAAAGAGATGCTTGAAACTCAGCTCATCTCAGAGTTGCTGCCTAACAAACCATCATCTCCCAGTTACAGTCTACCAGATTTACAGCAAAGGAAGCCATTTTATTCCTCATCTAGTAGATAATCAGCATACAAATGGAAGTAGGATGCAAGTTACTGTTGTCACAATAAACATATTACAGTGTCACGAGAAAATATTTTCATCCAAAGAAGTATGGGAGCTTGCTAGTCTCCCAGTATATCAGGCACTACAGATTGATTGTAAGTTTATAACATTTTATTTCACATTTGTATGAACGGTGCATTTTTACTACCCATTTTACAGTTAACAATCTCTGCTTCCTATCACAACACGTGACTGCAACACTGCAATCGTGCTTCCACCCTCATAGCCCTCAGCAACTACAGGCTACCATTGCTGCAAATTTATCCAAAGTTGGATGGGATGGCTTGAAGCTCCTGGGCCCTGCAACCCCCCTCACACACCCCTGAGGAGCAACAAGAACCCACAGAAGTCTAGCCAAGGACATGACCCTTTCTCCAACGCTTTTCAAAATCCCTGAAGTTTACATGAAACCCACAAAAGCATCATCTGCTTACTTCGGTCCCTGCCTCAAAAACTATTTACTTGCAATAGTAAAGACTCACAACAGCCTCAAACACCAAACGTCCGATAACCAGAAAGTGATCCAAGAGAACCTGTCTGCAGGCACTGGCTCCTGCGAGAAGTCCCAGACATTCTCCCCAGCATGGACGTGGAGCTTTGCACTAAGGTCAGTACTCCCTGGCTGCTCTTATCACGACCACTGGCAGACTTACATCTTCAGCAAACACGCAATGTTGGTTGCATATCACCTACTTCTATTACTTTGCCAAGTCAGAAGCTTCTTGACTTGTCAAAGCTACTACAAGAATCCTTGACCATCTCTAACAGACACACAGAGCTGTCTTGTGTACCGAGAGACACAAACACTGATTATGGAGCCCTAGACTGAGTTTAAGAGTTTATAAGAGAATTGCATCAAAAATACAAAGTAGATCTACTGTATATGCAGGACAGACATGAGTCTCCAAGCAGAGAGCAGTTTTCTTGTTCTCTCTAATTATACAGCAGTAGAGCAGAATGGTATTCAGCAGTGCTCCTCCCACACAGTACACAGAGGTTTTCAGCAAAAAAATGCTACTAAAAGGAATACCTCTGAATGTGCGTACAAATGAAGACCCATGTAAGGAAATACTACGTATCTCCTTAGTAGCACATGGAAGTTTTAAGCTAGCAGACATTACACAATGAAGATTAATGTGGTAACATTGCTCTTCAAGCAGCTCCTACCCCATCTGATTTTGGGGATGCTCTGTTTTTTTCCAAGATTCTGAGATGTGCTCTCAATGCAATTTTCAACTATATGTGTGGCCCTGCACGTTTATGCTGTCTGTGGAACAGGGTCCTGATTCCAACAGTATTGGACCAAGAGTGGAGGGAACAAGACACAACAGCCTCCCCTTAATATAGAGGAAGTTGAGTATATTTTAAGAGGTATAATATCTACATTATATATTTAGCTTATGCATCAGAAAGGTCCTTACACTGAACTGTGACAGCTTGGGGACCATACTTGGGAATTCCAGCTGTGCACTGCATTCTGACTCTCCACCCAGTTGAAGACTGACATTTTTAAGATCTGTTTCACAGCTAAAACAGGAAGGTGTGTAGTTGTCAGAAAAAAATGTAATCTTCCTTTTCCACACACTTTGTAATCATGCTTTTTAAAAGCAGGTCATTTCACCAAATATTTGTGACTCCTGCCATCATTTCTCTCCTTAATGGTTGATATACAGGCTGAAGAAAAAATGACATAAATTATGCTCAAAATGTATTCAGTAGATTTAGGTTTCTTTGAATTAAAAAAAAAAAAAATTGTCTTGAAGACATAGCACAGTGGTAGCCAGGATTACAGAGAGTTCATTCTTCTTCTAAGAACTGTTTACATTTTATTGGTTTATGCAGCTATAATGTATTTGCAATCCTCTGAAGCAATTCTTTCCTAAACTCCCCGTAACTGTGTGTAGCTCAGCTTGTACTACTTAAGTAATACAAACTGTGGAAGAAGATAAACATGGATGTCTGTTTTCTAACTAAAAGACCTTATTCTACATTAACTTAACCCAATAATGTTACAGCCTAAACTGGTAACTGGTATCCTTGCAAGACCTAACCTACACCCAGGGCCTCCTGGGCTGACACCGAGGCAAAGCACGGTGCTGGGAACCGGGTCAGAGCACGGCCCGTGCTGGGCAGCAGGAGGGGAGAGAGCTGAACACGACCTGCTGGGACTGGCAAGAGCGGAGAGACTGGGTGTGCACAGGCCTGAGAGCCTGATGAGACTTGAAATGAGGCAGGGACTGGAAAAGGAAAGCCAGGGAATCCAGGAGCTCCTGGGTGGGGAGCAGAGCTTACAGCTTCAGATCACTTGTCTCCTGATCAGTTGTCAGTTGCAATGACAAATGGAAATTAAACCAGCCTGGTATAAGTTCACACTGTGTATTGTAACAAGATAAAAACTTTCCCATGCAGATAAGGTCTTTCAGGATCAAAAGCACTATATTTGATCCAACCATAATATTAAGAATAAAGATGCAAATAAAAGATCAAACTTTGCCTTGCAAATCTTCACTGACACAATCCAAGGCAACAGTTACTTCTGCACACTAACAGGACAACTGTTTAGACAGAGACGCTACACAGTGTTTGCTTTCTGTTAACTGAAATTGTTCCCCAGGGTTTCAAGGTTTCCCATCTGTACCCAAAAAAGATTCAATAGGAAAAAGAAATATTTTCAGGAGTTATCTCAGAACTAAAATTCAAAACAGAGTGAAGGCCAGGCAGAAACAAACTAATTCTCCCTATGGGAAGCTTGCAGGGGTGCCAAAATATACAGAGGAAGCAACATTTAAAAAACAAATCCCCAAAGACCCCATACTTTAATCTTCAAAAGAAGAACAGAACACATTAAAAAAAAGTTTCAGAAAGCTCTCTGAATCTGCCCCAAAGTAAGCCAGGACCTCTGATTAAATAACTGCAGGGTTAACTGTTATGCAAGAATGGCAAGTTTGCTGTGGAAAAGCTAAAGTACTAACTTCCATATGAGAAACAGGTCTTCTTGGTCACAGCCCCCAGGCCAGGGTGGTGCAGGAACACGGGGTGTGGGTGCCTGGGAGATCTTCACATGCAAAGATCAGCATCTTGTAGCAGGGAACCCTCCGTGTTAGTCTAAGGGTGATACTACAAGCAAATACATTCAACACATGGAAATATATACCTTGCTATGAGTAGCTAGGTGAAATCTTGGCAATATTACTGTAGTGAAATGGAAATTAATAAGGAAGAAGGCAACACAATACAGATAAACAAACCCGAGCTTTTTCTGAAGCTTTCCAAACAGGGAACGGCTGAAGTAGTTTTGCAAAGACACCCAAACCTACACAAGACTTGTGAATGTTGCAGCTGAAGTTTGCAGTTACGTAATTTCAAAATAGTGCAAGTCCTATTACACTTCGCCTCCTTCCTACCCATCTACACCAAAGTGGAAACAAACTTTTATTGCGAAAGCTGTGAAACTTATCAGTTCTTCATGACGACAAATACTCTCCAAAAATAAGAAAAAACTAAATTGAACTTGATAATCCGAGTTCTACCCACTGTCTGTCATCACTTCATCGCCGAGGCGCGATTCGGAAACAGACACAGCAGCACACAGCCAGGCTGCTTACACGGTCTGGAAAAGCGCCCGCTAAGATCATGTTGCAGAAATAATTCACACCTGCAGCAAAGCTGCACAAAACATCATCAACTCGCCGACTTTGACAGACATATGCCGACCGTGGCGCGGGGCGGGGGGGGGGGAAGAAGGAGTTTCTACAAAGACGCGAGGGAATGAAAAGTTGGAAATCCCCCTCCGACGCCGCAAGGGGGGCCAGGCCGGGCCCGAGCCCCTCACCTGGGCGGCCGCGGCCCGTCTGCCCACGGGCGGAGCGCCGGGAGCACCCGAGGCGGCCTCAGGAGGGGGAGGGCGGCCCGGCCCCGGCTCTGCCCGAGCAGCCGCGGCCCCTTCGGCCCGGCGCCGGCTTCGACGCCCGACCCCGAGAGGCCGCCCCGGGAACCTCCCGGCCCCGCGAAACCCCCCGGCCGCCCGCCGGGCCCGCACCCCCGGCACCGGGACCACCCCGCGCACGCCCTGAGGGGAGGGCGGGACGGAACGGAGAGGCCCGCCCGCCCCCGCCGCGGGCATCCCGGCCGGCGGGCAGGCGGTGCCCCGGACGACCGGCCCGCCAGGGGAAGGGAGGGGAGGGGAGGCCGGCGGCGCCCCCGGCCCGGCCCGCAACGGGGAGGCGGGAGGAGGCCCCGGCGCCCTCCTCCTCCTCCTCCGCCGAGCCGAGCTACGCCCCCTCGGCCCCGGGCCGCCGCCGCCCGCACTCACCCGCCGAGCGCAGCAGCAGCCACAGCAGCCACATGGCCCCCGCCGCCGGCCGCCCCGCGAACTTCGAGGCTGCTCCGCCGGGCCGGCCCCGCCGGAGCCTGCGGCCGGGGGCGATGGGAGGGCGGGCGGGAGGCCCCGGGGGCGGCGCCCGCTGCCGCCCCGCCCCGCAGCACGGCCGGGCCCGCCCGGCGGGGCCTGAGCCGGGGCGAGTCCCCTCAGCGGCACCGGGGCCGGGGCGGCACCACGGACGCAGACGGGCTGGACGAGGAGCGGGTGGACAACTGCCCGTGAGGCAGCCCCGTGCGCTCGCAGCCCAGAACCCACCCGTGCCCTGGGCTGCAGCCAGAGCAGGGGGGGCAGCAGGGCCAGGGGGGGGATTCTCCCCCTCTGCTCCGCTCTGGGGAGACCCCCCTGCAGTGCTGGGGCCAGCTCGGGGGCCCCCAACAGCAGAAGGACCCGGAGCTGCTCGAGCGGGGCCAGAGGAGGCCACGGAGATGCTGGGGGGGCTGGAGCAGCTCCCCTGGGGGGCCGGGCTGAGAGAGTTGGGGGGGTTCAGCCTGGAGAAGAGAAGGCTCCGGGGAGCCCTTCGAGCGGCCTCCCAGGGCTTAAAGGGGGGGACAGGAAAGGTGGGGGGGGGGACTTTGTACAAGGGCATATAGTGATAGGACAAGGGGTGATGGCTCTAAACTGAAAGAGGAGAGATTCAGATGAGATGTAAGAAATTGTTCCCTGTGTGGGGGGTGAGGCGCTGGCCCAGGGTGCCCAGAGCAGCTGTGGCTGCCCCCTCCCTGGAAGGGTTCAAGGCCAGGTTGGACGGGGCTGGGAGCCCCCTGGGCTGGGGGAAGGGGCCCTGCCCGGGGCAGGGGGGGTGGGACTCGATGATCTGCAGTGTCCCTTCCAACCCAAACCATCCTGTGATTCTATGATTTATAATCTTTCTCAAATCTGTTGCCCACCAGGCACCTACAGCTAGTTTTGAGGACAGTGGAGGGTTGTGCTGGCATTAGCATGTCACACAACCACCCCTCCCCTTGCTGTGTAGCGGAGGGCAGGAGCTCTGGCACAGTTTGGGTCAGGACTGGTCCCCTGTGGGCAGGTTAGACCTTTGTGGAGCACATAAATGCTCACTCTGCCCCTCCTGCAATAGAAAAGGGATATGTTGCCTTCAAAAAGCCTCCGTTTCCATCTTCTGATGTATGCTCCTCTCATCTTCGTTCCCTAATTGGAAGACGAGACATTTTCATTATAGCCAGTCAATCAGAGCTAGCCTGTGGGATTTAATATCATTGTAAAGCTCTGAAACCCAGCATTTAGGAAACCTAAACTGTGTTTTCAGTCTAGGGGCCCAATCCTGAACCCACTTGGCATCGATAGGAGGAGAAGCAGGCCTTGCTTTAAGAAACGTTATTTTTCAGTGTATAATGACCAGGAATGAAGAAAGCCACATTATCACGTGAGCCATTTTGCTTTTATGGGAAAATCGCTGCTGTTCATTAAGTGGTACCTTTTGGTTGTAGAGTATTCCCGTGTGTGTGTGTCAAGTACGTAAGTAGATCTGCATGTGTATAGAATAAAGTTTAACTGTCTAAAAAGCCTGTAGCATGTATTTTGTAGCTGAAGAGGAAGGCTTAGTGCAGAAGGTATTTTAGCTAAGAATTAAAGCCAGTTTAGAACAGTAAAAAGCTGCCAAGTGATTTCTGAAACTATGCTCAGCTAATCTGCACAAAAACACTGTTTCAAGCAGAATTCTTAGCATTCATGTTTAATATAGTCAGAGGAGCTTGAGGAGATTTATTGATAAGGATTTCACATCATTTGAAAGGATGAATTTAATTTTTTATTTGAAATAAGACTTTTATTTGAATAGCTAGATTTAGCTTGTCTTAGTTCTTTAATGGCATTTTAACTCCTGATAGCTAATTCCCATGTGGAAATCAGCTTGGGAACCAGTTTCCAGACAGGGCTTTGCGATGGAGAAGTGGTTTCTGACCTCTGTGGGATGTGTCTGTGGGAATTTCCCCCACCTGCCAGGACACCAATCCCCAGCCACTTGCTTTCCTGCCTGGGCTCGCAGTGTGACTACCCAGTGTGCCCCATCTCGGCGGGCTTCAGCCACCTCACCCTGCCGATGCGCAGCAATAATGGTTAAGAGGGGAAGCAAGGGGGATGGGTGCCTCTTTGGCGGAAAAAAGTGAGATCTTCGAGTTCGCTCAGAGATTAAGTGGGAAGCTCTCGGGCTGTAAAAGCATTTTCTTCACCTCAATTTCTTAGTCAGCCCAGGTTAAAGGGTCCAGTGTGATTCATTGTTACCTTGTGGGTGTTGGGTTATGTGATTAAAAGTGTAATCCCTGTAAATACAAAGATGCAGGGAGAACAAAGACAGGCAGAAGAACCTTGGTAACCTCATCTGGGAAAATGGAGCACACAACACTGGCTGCTCCCAAGCACATCAGAGAAGACTGATTAGACCTTGTTACCTGGTGTGAAGCCTGCCCAGGTAAGTCAGCCAAGCCCCCGCCTCCCAGATGCCTTGCTAACTAAGGGTGGTTATTGCCTATGGTATAGATTGCATTAAGGGACGCAACAGTAACTGCATTTCAGGAACATGGAAGACTTACTAAACAATGTTTAGGGCACAGGCCAAAGGAGGAGAGAGGGAAGGTTTGCAATGGATTGAGGAAGAGAAAACATGGCAAAATAAAGGGAAAAGGGGATGAAAGGGACTGGCCAAGTATAGCTGAGCCCTGTGTTTGCTCACCACAGCCTAGCCTATAATCTAATTAAATCATGTTTCTAGCTATCTTACATGTAGGTGCACGGTCGATTCCAAGTGCGTATGTGTGAACACTAGCAAACTTCCAACTAGATTAGCCAGCAAACAAAAGGTCTGAGTATCTGTAACCGTGTGGGACCACAGCCCTTGGGTCAGCAGTATGCCCTCTGATACCCTTTACCCTGGTATGAACTGCCTTCCTGTCACCAGGGCGGATTTCTGGCTTTGTACCTGGAAGCAAGATGTGATCCCAGCTCTGTTGCGGACATTGTGTGGGCTTGAGCAAGTCACTCTGGTCAACACACGCTTTGGCTCTTGGTGAAACTACGGGCCATCTACACTACAAAGATACTGGAAGGAAAAATAAATAACTTCAGGCTGCTCAGAATGTAGCTAGATTCTGAATGGCTACCACTAATGCAGGGTAGCAGCTGATGATCAGAACAAACAAGGGATATACTCTGAAAAAAATATTATTTTCTTGCTTCTATTAGCTTCATAGAAAATTGTGCTGGAGTGATGAAGAGCTGTGCTTGGCCTGTGGTCTTGGCAGGATCCATTATGAGAAAGCCACTTACTGTAGCTTTGTGCGCTATGGCTAAGGGCTAGAAAGGGAAATTTTCTTCAGAGCCAAGCTTGTCAGAGAAGGCTCATTTATATTCGCACAATTCCTGCTAGCCAGAGTTTCTGGCGCTTCCTTCACTACTTTAAAAGATGTGGGCTTTTGCTGCTGGATTTTAATTTCCAAATGCAGCTTCACCTTCTGCCCTATCTTGAAATGAAATCATCAGTCCTCTAATTCATAATCATCCCAGTCTCCTGACATCAAACAACATTTAATAAAACTGCATGGGGTGGCAGTGTCCACATGGTTCACGAAGTTGCACTCATCCACAGGAAGGCTGCAGGTGGCTTCAGGGAAGCTGAAGCAGGGACAGATGCAATGAAAGTCCTCAGGAGCCTGGGGTGCCCTGCCTGAGTACTGTCTTGTGTGGGTGCCCAATTAAGTGTAAGAGATACACAGTCTTTGTCTCCGTCCACATCACAGCTGTGTTCTGTCCTGCTTAGAAATTTCTTTGCGGCACATCTGTGAATAAATCAGGTGCTCTTTCAGCAAACTGTGTGTCAGAGTTTGAGTGCCTGATGACAGTGGAAGAATAGGTGTGAGGATATCTGGCTTTGGCATAGAGTTCTCTTTCCATGTTACTGTGCTGCCAAGGGGCAGGCATTTAATCTTAAACAAACCTGCCACCAGGACTGTGGGATACATATTCTTTTCCCATGCCCAGATGAAAGATAGCCAATAACATAAATGGTTTCCTGTGAAAGAATTATCCAGATGTTTATTGAAACTAATCTCTGTCAATTATTAACCTAAAGAGCGGTCTTTTTAGGTTATTGTAGACGACGGAGTGTCTTCCACTCATACTGGCAGACCTGCCAGTTCTTACTCTGGGGGACAAAGGATTATTTATAAGCCCATTGCAGAGGATCTGCATCTCCAGAAGAACCTGACCTCTCTTGGAGGTACCGGTACTCAGCATGTTGTAAACTGAAGCTCAGATTTTTCATTTCTCATTTCTGACCAGCTCAGTGTACAACTTATAATTTCAGAATCATCCTTATAAACTAGAAGTTGATTTTTTAGGGAGTTCATACTGGTTTGAGGCAAAAGAGCAACATGCAATAATGTCTCTAGATGCTGCTCTAAATTTGCTGTCTTGAATCTGGAAGTAGTGCTCTGAAAAAAATTAATTCTAGTAATTTATATGTGTCATGCCCCGTGACGGGATTGGTGATGATGAAAAGTCATGACTGTGTTAATTAAGGATAAAAATTCATAATAATATATTGCAATATTTGGTATATGCCTGAACTGCCACTTAGCAAGCCAGGGAGTTGAGAGCTGTGCTTAGCAACAGCTTTTTGATGGATTCAAAATAATAATAATCCAATTTTTAATATATTGCAGTGAAATGACAAATGTAGATCCAAATACATTTATAAATTTGTCATCATCAACATCTATCAAGTTAAACAGGTATATTAGCATATCAGCCTATATCCATCTACCCATTAGAATTTGCCTCCATTATGGCTTAGCAATGTTTTGATCTTTAGTTCTGCATCAAGCCTGAAGCTCTTCTGACTGTTGCAGCATTATTCTATTTAGAAAACAGTCAGAGATCAATTTTCAAAGGAGGAGTCATAATAGGCATTCAGATTCCCTCATATCACTCATATGCTTCTCTCGTAACAACATGTAAAGAATGATTAACTGAACACATTGATGTGGTCCTCATCACTATGC